AACAAAAACAAATTTACAATATATTAAGAAAAACCACTATTTATTTAAATGTAAACATATTTCTATAATTACATTGGATATTTATCTCGTAAAGTACGAGATGCCAAGCATCAACATCGTAACAAAGAAACTTAAGGAGGGTGAAGGTACGCGAGAATAACATTCGAATAGAAAAGAGAGAGCAGCTGATGGCGTAAGCATGTAAGACAAAGATGACTATATCTAAAAGAGAGAGAAAGAGATAGAGACAGCAACACGAAAGAAAGAACCGAAAAGGTAAAAATTTAGAACAGTGTCAGGAAATATTATTACTCACAATGCTTCGTTGCTAAAATTGGGCGATTTTGGAGGATCAAGCTGATGTAATTGGCAATAAAGAACATCAAAGCAAAAGAAGCCCATCTCGGGCTTCACTATCACACTGTTTCTCAACTGTGTGCCATTTTGTAACACTGAACCATTACACGGAACACTCGATGAATTGTTCAGCTTTTGCTTTTTCGTTCCACAACAACCTGCAGCCATGTTTCCTTAGTCGATTCCTTGAACGGACGCGACTACTGCAGATACAATCGGTCCTCGACCCACACGTCTCCCATTCTTCTCGGTCGTCGCGGACTCAATCGCGCGCGCGTTCCGTTAGATGTCCTCATACTCGCCAAAACAGCTGTTTCATTATCCGCCATTTGTCGAAAGCGCGGCATCAGTTAGTCAAACTTGAAAATTGGCGGTAGTGTTCGCGGTTTTATTCGTGCTGATACGTTTACGAAGATTAATAACCTAAATTTGAAGTAAATGAAACAATTAAGCAAGAAATAGACGCGACACGATTTACGCAAGTAAGTACAGCTAAATAGTTGCATTTAAATCTAGCATTATACAATACGGTAGGCATACTCGTTTCGAACGAAACAGAATTCGATATATCACTCGTGTAGCATGAATGCGTGATCAGTGCGTGAAAAGGAAAGACTATTACTCGATTGTTCGTTTTATATATAAGAGAAATCAACGTATAACTATGATCTAGGTTTTGCAACGTACACAGATTTACTTGTCAAACGACTAATATATACGTATATTCGCACTGAATAACCTTATTCGACGATGATATTATAACTTTTACATTTCTCGGTGTAACGATGTGATACGTGATAATTAGAGTAACGTCCACTTTCAAAATTTCTCGCTAGGAATGTACAATGCAGTCTCAGCAGAACAAGCAGAGGCATTCAAATCACTTTAACAGACAACCATGAATACAATTGCTTGAAGAAGAAACTATGCCGAGGGCACCGACTTTTCTAACCCCTTACCTGGCACCTGCTCACGATGCACCGGAGAAGCCCGAGGCGTGACAGCAGATTCAACCTGGCAACGTGTACTTGCTTGTAGCTGTCCGGTATATTGCCAAGTGGCTATATTTTTTCTGACAGCTGACATCGTATACCCACAGTTTATCGCATAACGGTTGTACAATTTGTGCCAAGTGTCTAGTAAAAATGACAAAGTCACCATTTTTATATCTAGAAACCATGACTACGTAATAAACAAAGTACTGCCAAACCACAAAGTTGAAAACTGATCGACATCGTGTTCGCGGTGTATGTGTATAGTGTCGCGTATAAATACTATTTACGTAAACTTATTCGAATAAACGAAAAAAGAAAGAAGAAAAAGCGCAAACTAATAAAAACATCGAGTTAATTCACGTAAGAACGATATGAAAATGAATCCACCGTGCACGATCAATTTCTAATTTAACGTATAGAAAAAAGTCTCGTGTAACTCGGGTTACAAGTGTTTCGAAGTGTGTTCCACGCGAAGATTTTTTGTCACGGAAAATGCTTGCCGACAAAGTTACCGTGAACAAGGAGACTCACTCGATGCTGTCAATGGAATAAAAATAGGTGAGTACTTCGCTTCTATATTTACTCCGCGTGTGTGTGCGCGCGCGCGTGTGTGTGTGTTCGTGTCGCGATACATTATTCGAATCTCGCTCACGATGGTCATTTCCAATCTCGTGCATACGTGTATCCGTAACATACCTTGTTTGTATTTATTGCGTGCAATTTATCCACGAACACGTTATATAAAATGTGTCATAATACTTTGAACGGCGGTGTCTGACTCACATTTACGCAACCTTTACGCGGCGTTTGAGTCGAATTATTTCGAATCAGATATACAAGAAGCCCTCGCTACACGGATATTCAATGAATGGAAAATCCGAAAGCGCGAAACATTGTTGGGCAACATTAAGAAAATCCTGTTTCTTTCCTAGTTTAATTAAGATTTAGAGGGCAAACGTGTTACGCGTTGCATTGTGTATTCGGACAATATTTTCTAAGCTGTACCCCACGGAGTTTTATCTTGTTCGATTCACGGTCTGTGAGCATAAGTCTAGTTTCTCGCTTCGGGAGAGTCATCTTTCGTGCGTTCGTCTGTTCTCACTCGCCTTCTGTGAACGCATCATACAAGATATTTATCATTGAAATAGGCATCGCTGACATCTCTCGCCATCACACGTTCTAATTTACGCTCCGCAAATTATCCACGCTTCTGTGGTGTGTTGCTGTGTGTACGCTGGTAGTTAGTAGCACCTTAAGCAACGTCGAGTTAATTACAGTAATCGATTCGACAGTTTAGCGACGCGTCGATTCACGTGTGGTTGGTACGACACGTCGTAAAGGTAAATGTCGTACGACACGATCTCTCGATGTATTTATGAAAATGTATCGACATGTTTTTTTCGAGAGAGAGAGAAACGATCGATAGGTTATTTTGGCGGTATGTTTCCAACGTGATTTTTCCGTCCATCGATAAATTAACAACGGCGGGCTATTCCACTCGCAGCACACAAAATGCATTTACCGGTTTAACGTAGTTACAGTTGGTGTTGATAATGCACTTGTATGCATCCCACGGACGCGGTTTCACCATTTAGGCTGCCAAACAAAAGTTTGGCCAGCAAGGTACACGAACCGACTGTCGGTACACCAGCTATGGTTCAGCTTGAAAAAATAGACACGTCGCGACGTTTATGTTAGGCCGTCGCGTAAGTTCGATTTTTATAATTCGGATTCATATCTCTAACAAACTTTTAAATTTAATAAAAAAAATATGTAAACGCCCTCTGGTTGCATACATTTTTTTTATTTCTTTGGTAAAACCATTATGGCGTCGCTACAGAATTTCCTTGGATCTTTGTTCAAATAATTCTCGCTTTAATATTATTTCACTCTGAATGAAAATAAAAATTGGGATAATTCTTTCAGATAAACTGCTGCTTTTTCAAAAATAAAACATTGAAATTACGACGAAAATCGAGATAATTTATTTTCAAACAAAGTGCCGCTTTTTCAAATATAAAAATTCATCGTAATAAGGACGAAGGCTGGCGGACAATTGAATAGAATCGAAGGTTGCGCGTGATGCAACGGTGCAATTAG